TTTAACATTATTTTTTTGAATTTGAATTAATTAGTCATACAACATCACTTTCATTGTGAAGGTCACGTCATGTCAATTACAGTGGTGCCTCGTATAACGTACGCCTCGAATAACGGACGCTGCGAACAACGGACTTTCAGTTCGGCAGTTATGTGAGGCGAACAAATGCGAATAATATTTTCACTCTTTTGCCGTTGCCAATGACAATCTGCTATTTTTATAATATATTAGTTTTATTAGAATATATTATTAGTATATCTGAAGTACAGAGCTCCCATTGGGATTCGGCTTGCTCCCTTGTTTATTACGTACATCACCTCAGTGCAGGGTATTTACATTTATTCAAGTTTTGTGCAAATCATGGCTTCTAAAAAAACAGAAAGGTGATTTCAATTGAAACAATGCAAGAAATCATCAGAAGGAGTGAAAGTTGACAACTTCCTTGTCGAATGGGAGAGGTTCAGGAATTTACCAATGCTCATTATCCAAACAGAGCTGAGTCATCAATGATCTCTACAATGACACCCTTGCCCGTCATTTCCGACAGGTGTTAAAGAAGAGAGAGAAACAGACCACCTTGGACATGTTTTTCAAGAAGCCAGCAGGCAAAAAACAAAGGATGGAACAAGAGGAGTTGACCCTGCAAGCTCCGGAAGCCTCTCCTGAATCTGACTCACATTAAAAAAACAATAAAAAGAGACCTGCTGCAATGTGTAAAAAGTCTGTATCTGTATGAATGTGTGAAGAAAGTATTCCTCCACCTCCTCCTCACAACGTCTGACTACCCGGCATAATTGGTGACTGCTCCATTTTCATTTTTTTAATGGTACAGTATGGTTATTTTATGCTGCGGAACGAATTATATGTTTTAACATGTATTTCTATGTGAAAATGTGTTTCGTATAACGGACTTTTCACTTAACGGACATGTACCTGGAACGGATTAAGTACGTTATACGAGGCACCACTGTATATAATACATTTAATAGTGAATAAACTAAGCCAGAATGGATTTTGACAAATTTGAACAAGCCAAGACAATTCTTCCCAATTAAAGGAAACTGAATAGCAATGTAATGGAAAACAAAGGTCATCAACTGAGAGCAATGATTCATTGTTATATCAAGTGTGAAATAAGAAATGTCATCACATTTTATCCATAACTGAGTGATGATGAGATTATATAGCCATTCACATCAAGTGATACTCCATCCTTGGCAAAGTAGTCAAAACCTGAGCCGCCAGCAGTGTGTGATTCCATACACTAATATACCAGGTATTAAATCTCTTAGTTTGAAACATTCCACGTGCAATTCAAAGCCTGAAAAGTTTTTGTGCACTGCTTGTGTCTGAAGAAATTTTTGAGAGTACAGTAGAGCACAGATTATCCAAATATCGATCAACTGAAACGTCAATTAACTGAAAGCTTTCCAGTCAGCAAACTTAAATTTCTGTGAGTGCTGTGGCACTGCAATCTTTGGCTATGTCTTGGGCTACTCCAATATTATTTTTGTTGGTGTGCATGTTTTAGCTGGCAGCACTGGCACGACCATGAGAGGGTACTTAAGGACTTGCCAGGATTTAAATGAATTTCAACTTGAAATAGGTTAATATATTTTTTCATTACATAATCGGTTATCTGAAAAATCGATTTTCCAAACAACCCCAGTCCCCAATTGATTCGGATAATCGATGCTCTACTGTATAACTTTTCAGACAAATTTGTATGCTGCATAAGTAGTTCAGAATACAATGTTGAAAAAACAGTCTTGCTTACGTGATTGGAAACCGACAGATAAAAATAAGATGACATCATTTTTTGGCATGATTTTATATATGGGTCTAGTAAAATTACCTAAAGTGAGCAACTATTGGTCGACAGATCTAATGTTTAGTCAACGATCTGCCAAAATTAAAATGAGTCTGAATAGATTTGAAATGTTACAAATGCTTCATTTTACAAATAACAAAAAGACCGATAAAAATGATTGCCTAAATAAGATAAGAAAATTAGTAAATACTCTAAATGCAAATTTTGAACTGTATTATATTCCCAATGAATCTATCTGTATTGATGAGAGTATGGTGCCATTTTGAGAATGAATAATATTCAGACAATACAAGAAACAGAGATGCCACAAATATGGCATAAAGGTTTTCCAATTGTCGTATTTCTGGCTATATATATAGGAAATCCTCATTAATTCAAACTTTGTAGTTCGAAATTCCATTAGTTCATAACTGTACTATTTGTCCTGGCTGAAGATATAGAAATTTACATGTTAAGGAATTCAATTAGTTTAAAATATGGCTACTTTAAAATTTAAAGTGAAAATTCTGTCCAAACTGTGATATGCATATGTTAACTTGTTTGTTTAGATTGAAGTACCTCCATAATATAAGAGAACAATGGCCCAAGAACAACTCTAATCTGGTCAATAGGCTTTGCTGTTACAGTAACACATTTTCAGGTTACACATTACCCACGAACTATCCAAAATTTCATTTATTACTAATAAATAGAGTAAATATTTCTGTAAGTTATTCATTTTGTATTTTTGGAACTAAAGAATATTAGGGGATTGTCCTTGAAATAGATTTGTAACTTCTAAAAATTGTGAATTTATGACAAAATTAATCAAAATTAGATTAGAATTTAAATATATGTTGACTAATTATAATTATTTTAATTCTAATAACATTATAATATCTGACACTATTTCAAACACTAACAAGCATTCAAGAAATCACTTTGTTAATGCATTTAAATGTTTTTGAGATGGTTAACATCTTATCTTCAGATCTATATATAAAGTGAGCTTGAAGAACATCAATATACAATCAGATATATATTAAACATAAAATAAGTTTAAAAATCTTTCTAATAAGACTAAAACAATCCATATTTTATACCTCATTTAGTTAAAATGTATTATATTAGTGTCACTAGAATGTTTTTTAAACTTATTTTTTTATTTAATTTGTATCTTACAATATGTTTATGTTCTTCACAGTTGCTTTGTGAATAGATCTGCAGATGAGCATAAACCAACTCAAAACATTTTTTATTAATATTAAATAAAGTGATTCCTTAAATGTTTATTAGTGTTTTGGTCTTATGTTGTTGTTTCCTACTAAAGAGTACATCCTAATAATTATTAAATATGTCTATAAAATTAGCAACAATATCAATACGTAACTTCTATATTCACTATTGGCATGCTGAATACATACAAATTATACTTTCACAATTTACCATATCTACCAGGGCTGTGGAGTCGGAGTTGAAGTTGGGAGGAATTTCTGGCCAGAGGAGTCGGAGGTGGGTAAAATGTGTTGACTCCAACTCCAACATTTTAAATTTAATTTAGTTTTTTTTTTTTATTTAAATGAAAGAAAATTTATTTTATATTTATTAATTTTTCAAAATGTATTTGTATTTTGTTATAGTTCATTTATTTTAAATACAAAATGCAACAATTTAATTTATTAAATATGTATCAGTCGGTTAACTGAAAGCATTCCAGTCAGATTGTGTCGTACTGAATTGAACATTTTTGATACTAGATTAACTTCTAAAGTATAATTTTTTTTTGTTTTTATATTTTTCAATATATTTATTTTGTTTGTACAAAATAAAAAAAATAATTTTTAAAGATACAATAGCCACAATTATTATTATAAAACTTTTCGTTAGGCTTAACATCAACGAAAATTCAATGCGAAGCGACACGCACGAAATTTTATTATCCATCAATTTACAATAGACCTATCAACAGCATCGTCACCATAAACAGCCTTTAAATGTAATTTTTTCAGCAGTTAAAAATTTGATAACAGCACGCTGTTTAACTCGCGTTGACATAGCACCAGAACGTGTCTCCATATTTCCGCTTCTCAAAATATACTGAATGAACGCAACAACCTCAAACTGTGCATGCACATAGAGGGGAATGTTACTTCCATATGCCACCTGGCATGTTTCTGAAAATCATTTTGTTTGTGCTCTACAAACATGTGCATTACTTTTCAGCATGCCCTCGTATTAATATACTATTATTGGGATATACTAATATACTACATTAATAATGTATTTTTTTGTACATAATCGGTTTTCCAAAAAATTGATTTTCCAAACAACCCCAGTCCCCAACTGATTCGGATAATCAATGCTCCACTGTATTTGTGTTTAGTAGTTAAATTATTTTGACCTTATTGAATTTGAATATTATCGATTCATTCCTCTCTTATCCTCGCTCTAAATAAGTACAATATTTAAGTACAATATATATATAGTATAAGTACAATATATAAGTAAATATATATTAAGTATATATTATATATTAAGTAATTATATATTAACTACAAGTATGAAGTAAGTATAAGTACAAGTATTATTAAGTACAAGTACAATATATTAAGTACAATATATGTACTCTATTTTTCTGAATGAGCCAGACTAATTGATCAAAGTGTATATTTTTCTTTTCTGAACAAGACTCTGAAAGTAGCTATATTGCATACTTTTTAGTTGAACTAACTTTTCTGGAAAGGTGAAACTGAAATGCAAAAATTGTAGAATAAAGATATGTAGATGTAGAATTTTATCACTCGCCTTTTTCCTCTTATTAAATATTTGTTAAAAATTAACTTTCTTATACAAATAAATATTAATATAAATTAAATATTAAAAAATACTAACTATAAAAGTATTTGGGTAAATGTCTGGCACTCCTTTCAGAGTTCAGAGTAGGGTAACCCCTATGAGCACCTCTGCTCCCATAGAATGACTTGGTATTTAATTTTGTCGGAGCTGGCCTACTAAAATTATCAGGAGTCAGAGTCGAGTGTTTTTTTACCAACTCCGCAACCCTGATATCTACATATATTTTATATCTATATGCTAATTGATATACATTAATAAAATTTCAAACATCATTTTATATTTAAAAAATATTCTAAAGATAAATGCATAATATTTAGTTAAATTTTGTATTTACCCATAAAGCTGATTCGTGAAGTACAACCAAAGCAAACTGATGTCTTCTATCAATTCTATGCTTGCTATAAACAAAAATCTCAACCACTCTTTTTATCATATATAAAGGTGAATATCTTGACCTAAAGATAAAAAAAACAAGCAGTTTATCTTGGAAATTTCTTACAATTATTATTTACTATAAAACTTTTATAAACTTACCCATCTCCAAGCTTAAAAGGCAAAGATTCCATATCTGATGATAAATCAATACATATTACCTTTAAAATAAATTAAATTACATTTATAAATTTAATAAAAATTTAAAATCCAGAATTAACAAAAATTTATTCTTGAATATTAAATAATATTTTATATAAATATGAAGAACATAATTTTTCCTTTCCTTTTACAACTAATTTTATGATTAAAAATATTTTTGTAATACATTTTTAATTTGCTTATAACTTTATATTTTATTTGATTAAAATATATAGTGAAATAAAATTCAGATATTATAGTCCAGTATCAACTGCATTTTTAATAATCTAACAAATTCATATTTCATAAAAATATTTCATAATAAATTCATATTTCCAGATATTATCCACATTCAGCAATTTGGTAATTTAAACAGTTGATCAACAAGTTGCTAAAAAATGATGTTGGTTCAAGAGATTTGAAAACTTTTGAGTAGAATTAAGTTTAACATATCTGTTTATTTTCTCTCTCTTTTTTGTGAAAAATAAATTTGTAATTATTAAAGTCATTTCAGACTTTACAAGGACTGTAACAATAGAAATCTGTAAAATTCAAAAAAGTAATAACTTTTTTATTTGTAATGCAATCAGAAATATTTTACTTTTAAAATACATTTACGAGGGCTGTTCGGAAAGTTCGCGGCCTCAAATAGAACAACAAACAAAATAATGTTAAAACTTTTTTATTTTTCAATGTAGTCTCCTTTGTTAGCAATGCACTTATTCCAGCGATGTTCTGGCTTTTTTATGCCATTACAATAGGTCGATTTGTCAAGGTGTGCAAAATACTCGTTTACTTCAGAGATGACTTTGTCATTTGAGTGGAATCTCTTTCCAACCAAGAATTATTTTAAATTTTGAAAAAGGTGGAAGTCACTGGGGGCCAAATCAGGTGAGTACGGTAAATGTGGAACTAATTGGAAGCTAAGTTCGTTTATTTTTTGTTCAGTGATTCTGGCATTATCGTGGTGAAACAGAACCTTCTTCTTCAAGTGTGGCCTCTTCGATTTCTTTCTTCAGTTTTTCCAAAAGTATACAGTAATAGACAGCATTAATGGTCTTTCCTCTTTCTAGGTAGTCAATAAAGATGATTCCTTTAGCATCCCCAAAAAACCGAGGCCATCACTTTCCCCGCTGATGGAACTGTTTTTGCCTTTTTTGGTGGTGGCGAACTGGGGTGTTTCCATTGCTTTGACTGTTCTTTTGTTTCAGGAGTGTAGTAATGGATCCACGTTTCGTCAGTAGTCACAAACCGACGCAAGAAATCCTGTGGGTTTTTCTGGTAGAAGTCCAAACACTCCTTTGACATCAAAGTGCGAACACTTTTTGCTCAGCGGTCAGCAGATGTGGCACCCACCTTGCTGAGACCTTCGTCATACCCAATTTTCGGTTAGATGTGGTGCACTCGGTCGACAGAGATGCCTGTTGTCTCAGCTATCTCACGCGTTTTCAAACGGCGATCTGCTAACACGAAATCGTAAACTTTGTCGATATTTTTTTCAGCGACAGCAGTTGATGGCCGTCCGCTGCGAGGGTCATGTTTCACACTACTCTCTCTGCCAGATTTAAAAAGGACTGTCCATTTTTTCACAGTGGTTTACAAAGGAGCAGTGTCAGCTTTGATTTGAGATGCGGTCAACCCTATTTTCGTCAGGTATTTTATGACCGCACGAGTCTCCGTCTTCTCCATTTTTGACAAAGCATGTGCACATTGACTATCTGCTAAGCTGTCGTGGCAAAACTTTACGACAAATCAAGCGGAAATTGGTATCGTATCTTTAGCAAGGATGGCTGAATTATTCCCGCCAAAAATTAAATTGATCGCAGCGCTGCATATAGGCAAGGCCGCGAACTTTTCGAACAGCCCTCGTAAGACTTAAATAATTATAACATTTAAGTTTTGCTCAGTTCCTTTCAAATGTTGTTCTAAAGATTTTTGACAAATTTCCTTCAATCATTATGACTGCTCTTTTTCACTTCAGAGAAAAAAAATCTTTAATGTCTTTTGCTGTTTGTTGTGTAATATTTTAGTTTATTTTTACAAGAGACAAAAATCTTTCTATTGGTTGGCATTGTGGTATATTCATGTCTCTAGGTAAAAAATCAAATCCATGCTGTTCCAGCCAACTTACTGTGAATTCTGCATAGTATATTGTTGCAAAATCCAACCAAAACAAAATATAGCCTTTGCAATTTCTTAATTATAAGGAAGATGACATTTTTTTAAAACATTTGTTAATATAAATTTTGCTACTAATTTGTCACAAATGACAAACTTTTCAATTCAAACTGGCAAATTGCTTGCCATATCAGATATTTTGAGCCAAACTTTTTGACACCAGTTAACGTTTGAGATTCTGGAAGAACTTGCAACAGACAGAATTATGAATAATAAAAAACAAGTTAACATCTTTTGAATTTTATGGATTTCTATCATTATAGTCCTTACTATCTTCAACATTGACAGAATCTGTATTTTTGTCTTTAGTATATACATTTACAGCAAAATATTTCTTAAATAAAACTTGCAAAATATAAATTTCTAAATTATATATAACACAATTATATTACATTATTATTAATTATTGAGAATATATATGGAACCCCAGAATAGAGGAAACTTTGTGGTACAAACTCACATGTCGACAACAATGACAGCTTTGGAGCGACAACCGGCTAATATACCAGTTAGCCTAACAAGAAATGCAAAAAAGTTTGGGGATTTTTTTTGTATATATGGATGTGGAGTATGGTTATTTGTGTGTGGGAGGACATGATTTTGTTCACCTACTTTGAAGCTTAATAACTCCTGTGTCTTTCGTTGAAAATTTCTGAAATTTTACAGGGAGTTTTGTGTATTGTGGATTATTATTATTAAATTTTGGTTGTTAAAGATCAAGAGTATGGTGAGGTGGAGGTGGGCATATTATATCTCAAGTAGTGTTGGATTTAATAATGAGTAAAATCTTCCTAACATTTACATTTGTTTTTTTTTTTTTTTTTATAAAACTCATCTCCACTCTCAAAATTATGCTTTTTTTCAATTTTATAATAGTTATGATATTTTAAAAACTTTTTATATAACAGATGGTGCCCCAAGCATTTTTAAATGTTGCTGGGAAAGTTACTCAACTTGTTGTTGGATTTTTAATTTAGGTATAAGTTAAATGCCATTATTAAAGTAATTTTGTTTGACATCCGAAAATGTAAACGAATTTACCAGGAGGAAACTTGATAACGCTTTGCATTTAAAAGCTAATACATAAACAAATATTGAGAATATATATAATTTTAAAAAAACATCAACAGTTAGTTAATTTTATCAGCTTTATCACATTACAGTGGTACCTCAGGTTACGAACGCCCCAGCATACGAAATTTTCAGGATACGACATGAAATTCGAACATATTTTTGCTCCACGATACGAACAAAAACTCACCATACGACGTTACATTAGTTCGCATTTTTCATTTGTTCTTCTTACTACAGTTACTTTTTTTAATGTATTACTTGGCTTTAATTTGAGTATGTTTTTCGCGTTGGAACGAATTATTTGGTTTTACATGTAATCGTATGGGAAAAGATAATCCACCTTACGACATTTTCATGATACGATCTCAGTTTCGGAACGGATTAATTTCGTATCCTGAGGTACCACTGTACTAGAACGATGATTTTAACATAAAAACTTACAATTTTTTCAGGACAGTTTACTTTAGGAACCTTCCTATCTAATTCTGCTTCATCTTTATTACGAATAGACGAACGTTTTTTAGAATCATATACGAGCTTTTCTGTTTTTTCAGGTGTAGTGACATGACTTTCAGTCAAATCTTCATTGGAACTAACAATTCCCGACTTTTCATCCAAACTACCTTCTTCTTCTTCCTCTTCTTCTTCATCATTCTCAATTTCTTCTAGTCCTCGAGGTTCCTCTGTAACATCTAAAACAGTAGTGCTGACTAACTCCGACGGATAGACAGACTTACATTTATTTTCTGTTTCGGATGTTTCGATATTAACTCCATCGCCTGTCGGTGCTTCTGCCATGTTTCGATACTTAAAGCGCCATCTAGTTTTAATTCATATTTTAATAGCTTGAATGATTTTTAAGATTTAATATTTTTAGTTAACATAATTACGTGTATATCTCTTTAAATTTTGTGTATAATATTAATATGTTAAACTGGAATGACAGTTTAATTTTCAAAAATTATGTAACGCATAATTTTTGAAAATTGGATATGTCATGTCGCGCATGAATTCTTTTCAACAATTGATCTATCATTTCTTTGTAATATTCTGAGTTCACTAATGACCTATTTCGTCTTTTAGTACAAATTTTTTATGCATAATTCCTTGTTAATTCGAGACGTTTGGAACCGAAATTTCCATGGATTTGGTTAATTAATTAGTCTCCAACCGGATGGCCGAGCGGTCAAGGTGGCACTCTGGAGGGGACAGGAAAACGGGATCGAATCCTGACGGGTCAAAAATTTCCAGGAATTTTTCGGGGGTAGTCCGTCCGGATATGTCGGACTCCGTCTCTCACCCCGGCCGCCCCATTATGGGTTCGGCCGCCTGGCAGAACCCATAATGGGGCGGCCGGGGAATATGCTCATTATGGAACATTATGTTCGTTATGGGTTTCATAACGGGCTTGCTAAAAGAGGCCCTCCTAGTGCCCATAGGGCGGAAAGAGTTTTAAAAAATCCCCCCAAACAATATACAGTACAAGGCCGGCTGGCCGAAGGGGAGAAGGCATCATACTACCTCCGGAGAAATCCAGATGGGCAAAGAACACTAGGAATTTATCATGAAAAGTCTGATCTAAATATGCCGAGATCCCATCCCTTATCACCTGACACCTCCATTGTAGGGCTGGCCGAACCCATGATGGGCATACACAATAAGATCTTCAAACAAATAAAAGCAAGGGTTAATTGCGTATTTAATACTTAAAATTGGTTTTGAAATAAATTGTATATGAACAACAATATATGATATTAAAATGATAAAATGATATAAAAATATATATGATATTATATAAATCTCAAAATGTATTAAATTTTCTACTAGATTACATACAACAAACAAAAATTATTCATTAAAATTCATTAAATGTTCCTAATGACGATTGATAAATTATTTTTTATATATAATAAATATATTATTTTTTAAACAAATATTAAAAAATCGAGAAAAGTGGAATAAAATTCATATAGGAAATGCTGAGATAAAGTAGAGAGTTTTATTTTCCACATAGTTTTACTCAATGCGTACAGTCAAAATTAAAAGCGGATATTCTGGAATTTTCAACTTAATGGAGAAATATGTCATGGATATCCACGACTATTATAAACTGTCAAACTGTCTTGCAGTTTTTCAACTATTTGATTCAATTTGGAACCAAAAGCAGATATATAAAATTTTTGGTCAATTCTGCTTAATACGAAAAGATTAAATAAATATTACTGCTTAAGATTGAATCGTTCATTTTTTTATTAATGTATTTTATTTCTGTTTACTCTGGCCATATAAAGTATTCGGTGCTAAAAATTTCCTCAAATTATAATACAATTTATCATTTTTAATTGAGTCAATTTCAATTTGTCATAAATTAATTTATTTTTCAAAAATTGCAAATCTCCCACTGATATCTGTCTGTTTGTTCTTCATTAATCTCGAGAACGGTTTCAAATAGATGAAAGTCAAGATCAGATATGGAAAATTTAGTGGTAGAAGACCCGATTAACTTTACACGAACTTTCGGTTTGGATCGGAAGTAAGGTTATTTTAATTCAAAAATTTTCTCCTGAACGGAGTTAGATAGATGACCGCATTAACAGGAAAAGTATGATGTACCGTACAAGAGCAAGATACTACTAAAATTGAGAGCAACTTGTGACGAAAAATTGCAGCCTGTCATTGTGACGATAATAGCTAATACTTGAGTGAAGAATCTAATGAAGTAGTGGAATAAAAATTTTCATAATAAATAAATCATTTTAATTATTCTGAAAACATTTTAAGCGCACAAGTTTTTATTTCTTAATGCAAAATTTAAAAATGTATTATTCTTTATTTTATGTATTATTTTATATATTATTATTCTGTATTATAAATTATATATAAACATGTGAAAAAAATCTCGCAACGAGATGAGTAACTTTCCGGGCTGTTAAGAGATTTTATTTACAAAATAACTTTTACATTATTAATCATAGTATTGATAAATAAATTGTGTGTGGCTCCATCTGTTATGAGATTGTATCATAAAAAACTTTTTATATTACTAATTATTATAAAATGATAAAACGCTTAATTTTGAGAGCAGAGATGAGTTTTATATATATATAAAAAATTGCAAATGCTAATAACGAGTAAAATCTTCATAAGTCCGATTCCTCTTAAGATATGATACATGATTTACTTCTATCTTCCATCATCTCCATCTTTACCCACCAAAATTTAATAGCATCAATGCCCCTTATATACATGTTACCATGCCATATTTCGTATCGACCCCTCCAGAAATATTAAACGAAATAGACACTAACATATACATATCCATGTATTGTATATATATTTTTTTTCTTTTTCTCTATAGGTAAATCGCAAGTAGCCAACATGAATCACATGATGCAAGTGAACAATAAATTGTATTTACAAAGAACTTGATTCAAAAATATCTTTTATGATTTGTTCTTCGATTTCTTTCAAAGTTTTATTCGAATATGCATAGATTTATATATAAATCGCTTTCTACACTCTTACAGACAAACCTTATTTTAAATAAAATTTGGCTATTTATTTAAGTCTTTAATCTGGTTCTGTTTAACAATTTATAACAATTAGAATTAAGAATTTCAATTGGTTTGTCTTATTGATTCACGTACGTATTTTTCAATTTCGAAAACATTTTTAACTTTTTGTTGTCATATTCTTACTATAATACGCAATATTGTGGAATGAGAGTTACACTATATTGGATTTTCTCTGATTTATCTGGAGATTTAGAGGATTTCTGTACATTATTTTTTTGTGTTCTAAATCTTCCAGTTTCTATCATGAAATAAAACAGAAATGGATTTCTTCGATAGAAAATACAACTAAGAAAAAAAATTTCAGATGCAAGTTGCGTTATTCTTCGAAATAAAGATTTGTATTAAAAAATTATACTTTTATTTTAAACAAAATTATAAATTAAAAATATGAATTCATTTTAAGCAATTTTCTGTAGATTTCTTAACTTGTTTTGATCGTAGTTATACCAAATTCGAAGGCCAAATATAGAATGTTATCCTATTAATATGTAAAGTTGATGGCCGTGTCATAATTGGATAAGTACAACCAAATGAACATGATATATTAAATGTGAACATCTTGTTGATTTGAATAAACGGTTTTATTTCAAATCCAATTCTATAAATCTCATTTAGATATTACCGATTTCAATTATCTGAAAATGTATTAGTTATTAGTTTTATTTTTTAAATTATTCATCTCATTTATCTAATACTAAATAGAAATTGGCAAATAGTTAACAAATAATTATAGTTTTCAAAGCTTTTGTTCAAGCGTAGATAAATAAATAATGCTTACTTTTTTCTTTTATTAAAGAATAATGAAATCGCTGAAATTTATTTCAAGCTGTCATATTCTTTTATGGTTAAAATTTGAGTAATGATGAAAGCTAAATCTTTTCATGCAATGTTGACTTTTAATTTAGTAATATCGAAGGAAATTTATCTTCATAAATAATGTCATATTTGGTTTTAGATTGTGTAAGGCCTTGTGTAGACAAACGAGGCCTTAGACGAGTACGAAGTTCCTTTATGTAAGTGTGAATAATATAAAATCAATTAAAATGAATGCGGCATACACTCGATTCAATTTCCCAAAGGATTACACTGCACCAATCTATTAATGGCAAAAGAGTAAGAGGCACGTCTAGAGGGATTGAGATCTGTTGGGAGGATATTTCTGATATATTATCAAAACTGCAAATGTAAGTTCATCGGAAGCATTTTCCCAGCAGATCTCAAACCTCCGGATATAAATGCATTTGTCCAAAGATTGGCATTCTTATGTAAAATATTCGATATCATTACTTCACATACATTGATCTGAGAAAGATATATGAATCTTTTATCTGTAATTTTTCTCTACTCACTTTATGACCAAGTGAATGGGCAATAATATATATAAAACTCGTATCATATTGTACAAGATCTAAGACCATACCACTAGTACTGTATTCTGAGTATTAAAGTAAGATCGAATATCCCTATTTATGTGCGCCCGAGGCTCTTAAAAACAGTGAAATCCTAAGTAAACAGGTACTTAAAATTACCGAATTTAATGAAATTTAATTTTTGCATTTTTTTAAATATTAGTAATAACAGATATCAAGCAACTTTAATATTATAATTCATTTTATAAAAATAATATCAATCAAGATTATTTTCAATCGAGTTTTTTGAGCGTTATTATATTAACTGATATTTAATTAAGAATATTGCAATTTCTTTTGTTAAAGTAATTAAAAATAAAAAAAAAGTANATTTCTTATTTCAATAAGTAAGTTTAATAAATTTTTAAGTAAAATATTATTTTAAATTTATTATCCTTTTTCCTCCTCTTCCTTCAGTGGTATATTTGATTTATAATAGATTTCAGTACAATGTATTATTTTTTTTTCTAGTATAATGCAGTCTGGCTGTTATTTTTAGAAGTATTTTTTTCATTCTCTCCAGGAGTGACTATTTATGAATAATGCCAAAGGGCTACCACTAGGACACTGCCCTGCTCATTGGCAATATCCCTTTGGTGCCTCTTCAATGGAGAAAGAATAGTACATGCTATTTTAGCTGGTAGCATACATTCCTTACTATCTTTAAACAACATTAATTATGTTTTCTTTATTTCTGTAGAGTCTGCGATTTTTTCCTATCTTATCATTTTTTAACTTAGTCTATCCTCCAACTTGGTTTAGAGATTTGCTTTTCCTGGAAAATTGGATTGGTGGAAAATTGATAGAAAAAGCATTGGAGCATTTG